TCTATTCATCTCTTAGACCTGCTTTGAATTGGTAGAGTGATGTTGAACCTAAGAATAACGATAGTTAGGCATATGAATGTGAGTTACAAAAATTCTATTCATCTCTTTGATTCGATTGTAAGTGGTAGAATTGTGTAGAACCTATGAATGAAGATTGTGTGACAAATGTATACTGCGGAGCAGGTTTCTATTCACGTTATACGTGTTTTTTGGTACACAGTTTAGTAGAAATGGATTGGTAACCCAAGAGGGGAGTATAATAATGCTCTGCACGTTTTTCTATCAGCATGTCGCGGAGCCCACGGAGAACAAGCTGATCGACGAAACGGTCATCATCATCTTCGATATCCAAACGTCGAAGAGCTGACCTAGCCGTGACGATGGCTACTATTGAAAAGAGGGCAAGTAGCTTGATGTGCATGATTTGGAATTCGCAGGATCGATCGTTGGTCAGTGACGTTGATAAGTCAGTATCTGTATTTTGTAATTTTTGTGGATTATTGTTTGATATATTGTGTGTTTATATATAGTTTTGGTGAGTGATTTTTTTTCTTCCTCCGCTCGTTTAATTTGTGCAAGCTGATCATTCATTCGTTAATTAGAGGTTTGGATTTGATTTTTTGTTGGCGAGAGACGACCGCTAGGAAAACAGACAGGGAACGTTGTTGTATTGTTACTTTCATGTTTCTTTGTCTTTTTGGACGGCGTTGGTGGCCGTCATTCACACGTAGGTTTATTACGTGTTAAAAATTCAGAACGGCGGAGTGTACATTGCAGGAATGTTATGTTTTATTGTTGTACTGTAATAACGAGTTGATTTTCTCCGTTCCCTTCTTCACCGATATGCATAAACGTATTTGAGAAGGAGAACAAGAAGAAGTATGGAACGATATTTTTTTCGCTGCTGAATAAATACGTGTCGAAGGCATGTAAACGAAGTATCGGTCTTGTTGATGATATTAAACAGCATGAATGAATGAATTGAGATTTGAACTTAATGTTTAAGGAGAATAATGGAGAGATCTTCTTTTTGTTTATATTACAAAAGGGAAATTTTCGACTTTAATCTGTGATTGTCAACCTTATAAAGATGACTTTGTATTCTGGGATATTCATCTGAATATTGCTCTGTACGAAAGATATGAACGAACGACACGAGATCAACAATATATGAAGACATTAATTGAAAATGGAAGACCTGTCGATTCTATACGCATCAGGTTCTATCCAACTCCATCACAGTTTAGAACAATGGACTATGAAAATGAGAGAAAAATGATGAATAGTCAAAGAATAATAAAGGTTTCAAGGTTCCGAATGAAAACAAAAAGTCAATATAATGCATTAATTTTCATCTTCTACAATAGCCAGACAAAGTTTGGACTCAATCGGATTGTGCATCTGCTAGTAGATGAAATACAAAACTGATCATTTATTATTTTTTTTACAAATTCATATCAATGATGCTATTGATGACTAAAATCCGAATTTAGAGGTTAAATGGAAATCATTGACAACAATCTCTGTCTTGTGTGCAAAGAATACATTTAGTAGAAGAGAAGTCGTTAGGTCCAACTCCAATGATCAGATTGATTGGCTTTATTCTTTCATTTATTTAATCACCATATGGCGACAAATCGAACGAATCAACTTGTTTGTTTTATTAAATAGAAAGATTAAAAGAAAACAAATCAATTTCACTTTTATTTGAGTTGTTCGAAGCCATTTATGATCTATTTTCTCTGTTACTACAATATATGAGCTTGATTAGATTTATGTAAAAGTTACCATTTTAATCAAACTTTCAAGAGCATATGCATGTTTTTTTTTATAGTTTATTATTATTTATTTTTTTTATTTAACAAAACTTCGACCTTGTACAAAATCAAGCAGTTATTATCGATGAAAAACAAAATATGTAGATACCGATTCAGTCTCTATACACACGTGTAGATAGCTGAAGAACGAAAACAAAAGAGAAAAGAGAGAGAAATCAAAATCAAATCAAATTGAGTTCAAAAAAACATTACATTAAAAGATGAGATTATTATCTAGAGAAAAAAAGAATAATCTAACCTAACAGAACAAGACACATACACACATGTGACATCAATAAAATAAATTTAGTTTTGATTTTCTTTGATATAATGTGTATTGGTGTTGGTAATGATATCTGTATTAGGTTGAACGGTCGAAGTCATTGATCGACTTTTACATGTGCTTTTTCTTTTGTCTTTTTCATTTTTTTTGTCTTGCTCTTCTTCTTGATGATGTCGACATGTACCATCATCGATTAAATTTCTGCTCATGCGACTTTATTATAATGGGTAACAGAGCTTTTTAGTTTCATATCTTCTTTTTATTTCTCAGTTCAACGCTTTTTTTTCTTTCAAATAATCAATAGATCATCATCAATCAATTGCATAATTCATAAACAAAGGTTACGTCTCAAGGTAATCAATCAATGAGAATTATCCAGTAACTGCCCATTGTCATTGTGAATATGAATTTCTTTTACACATTTTTTTGCTTCATTTATTAAATATTTATTCATCATTTTTGGTAATAATAAAATTTATCTATCAAAAATATCCTCTATTATATATATTGAAATTTATTTTGAAACTAGCTTATTGAAAACAACACTGTAACGAAGAGTGAAAGATGAAACATGTGTGTGTACATTTTCATACATATTTCTTTTGCTGTAATAGCATTCTTTCATATGAGGAAGCAGCTGTCATCCGATCCCAGCATAATATCGAGAGATATTCTCAATACAAAATGAAGTTGTGACTCTCCACAACAATGCTTTATCCCTTTTACATTTGTTGATGGTGAAAAAATAGAAGTATTGAAGAAAAATACCTCTTCTACGACAGAAATAAGTGAAGCGTGCAGAGTATGTATTTGTCGTCGCAATACTACGTGGATTGTGCGTCATCGACAAAGCCGACGCTCGAAAAAATGTTGATCACTTGTCCATAACCCGATGAAAAATAGTTGTGCGAATGAAGAGAAGAGAGAGAACATAGTATGATGATAGATAGCAAATATAATAAAAATCGTATTAATTCAAGCAATAGCACGATTTGCGTAGCAACTATATGATAAAATAAAGAATAATAAGTGGCTGACACACGTGCAGCTTTTGTCCAATATTCATGAGAGAGAGAGAGACAAAAAGATAAAATAAAGACTCATAATACAATAAGAGCAAACTTTTTGAAATCATCATAAATTATTCTACCTTCTTACTACTAAAATAACTACGAAGTTTAATACTAGTCGTTTCTACTATAACAAAGAAACTATTGCAACAGATAAATAAAAAAAAGAATTAAATATGACAGAATGTAAAATAAAAAAAATATATGATATTCGTATGTTTTTTCCTTGCATTATTATCATCATCAGATAGATATTGAAAAATTAAATACAATAATAAATAATTTAACTATTTCATTATTCATATCCAATTGATGAAGGCAAAAAAGAAGAATTTTTCTTTTTTGTCATTCATATGTACGTTTATATTTACAAAAACTAAAGCAATAATAACAATTCAAAAGATTAAACAAAATAAGCAAAAACGGAGACAGAAATATATCGAATCACAGATATTGCTAAAATAGAATGTGAAAGAAAAAAGCAGAGATATGTATGAACTATAGAGATTATATGGAATAGCAATTGGACTTATTATGAGATAGAGTGTATATTATTCTATTTATATTATTATTGACAAAAAAATATGCATCATATTTTTGCGTTATTTATTTATCAAAATATGTAGAAAATCTTCGCAGTTGCATCTGAATGAAAATAGAAAAATGAATGATATTATTCAGAAAAGAAATTCTAGTTAGTTAGATACAAACTATTGATCAGCATCAAAACCAGCTTTACGTGTTAATTGGTCAACTTTTTCTCTAAATTATACATTCAATGAAATCATAGGATATTTCAGTTCAGCAACAGTAGCATAAACAATATCATATTTATCAAGTATGTGATATGTTTCATGTATATCATCTTCTATTTCTTTATTATTATTTGTTTTTAAAATTTTGTGCTACTTTCACATACATAAATCAAAATCAATTGTATGACTAATTTGTTGTTGAGTTTCTTGTAAATCAGTTTCTGATGGTGATAAAACACATAAACGAAGAATAATACTTAAAATTGATGAAAACTATTTGCATTGTTTTGACAAATTAAAATAAAGATTTTTATATCAAACTCTTATGCTGCAATCATATATACCCTATGATATTGACGCATTTTATTAAAACCACTGGATTTTGTTTGAGTTTTTTGTTTTAATCAAATCAAGATAAACAAGACATATTTCTAAATGTTGAATAAAGAAAAAAATATATATATATCAGTTTTTTTTCTTTTCAAGGACAAGAAAAAGAAAAAAAAGAATTATTTTTCCGTCATTGATGTCGATACACAATCTAAATATTGTAATTTCTATAATAATAGCATTTTCTTCTTTTATTTTTGTCTTTTATTTGTATGACTCTACCAGATCTCGATTTGAACAAGTGATGTTTCTATATTAGATAATTGTTTTTCAAGGTCATCAAATTTCAATAATATCCTCATAAGTTAATTGATTTTTTTTTATATAATTTACAAAAGCTTTACATCTGATATATATATATATATTCAATTATTTCAATCGATTCTTTTAAATAACCAAAAGAAATTATTTCTCGATCAAGTTTTTTATTGAATTCAATAAGTGTATTTTTATCATAAACAATAAGTGATTCAACAGCAGATACTAGACCAAAAAAAAGAATATTATAATAATATGTTATACTTAAAAATTTACAAACCATTATCTTCATTCAACATTATTTTTCAATTGATTTGTAGTTTTAGTTCGAATTTCATTAACATGTATTCTAGCCTAATAATAAATAACGGCTCTTTTTCCCTAAAGCATTCAACAAAAAAAGAAAAATCATACATAATCATCTAATAATTCGTTTGAACAGTCATTGTTAAATTAGCACATGATTCAGTTATTTTATCATTAAAGAAAAACAACCAAATTAATGTATGTTAAATAAGAGAATTCGATTTTTACATATTTCAATGATAATTATATTATGATGTATTCGCTTTGTTAATCATAGTATATTGTTCCTTACATTTGTCAATAATTTGAGAATACAAACTAAAATAATTTAACAGAAATAACTAATTTATTTGAATTGACTTTTTTAATAAATAAAATGCATTCATAACGTACAATATAAAATTTAAGAAAAAAAATAATTTTAGTCTTTTTTTTCAAAACTCTACTCTACCAAAATATCTTATAAGCAAGATCTTATCAAGATCTTTAAAAGATAATTCGTTTATGTATATCTTGATCGTATCAGATAAAGCTGTATCTAAGATCTTGGCAAGATCTGTTCAGAAATTTTCACATGTCCCGATCATGAAAAAGATACTAGTTTATATTACCGTTTCCCAGAATCTTGACTAAAATAAAAAGCGATATTATTGATTTATTTACATATTTAAAAATTCTTTAATTGCTTGGAACTACTTTCCAAAACTCCATCATATAAACTTGTGAGTCTCATAGATGTGCGAGATATTGGAAACAGTGTGGGCACTTCCCAAACAATAAAATTAAAGTTATGCAAAATAAAGAGGGAAGAAGAAAACATTCATAGAAAATTTGTAGAGTTTGAACAGTGTTTTTTTTAACTAACCTGGTCTGTATTCACGGCAGAGCGATGCTTAATAAGTAGATGGTTGCTGTTAGGTTCATATACAAGATAATTTGAAATTTAAATTTTTTAAAATTAATTTTTTTTTGGATAATGACGAAATAAAAGACGCTATAGATTTTAGTGTTAATCAAATCTCAAATTTAGATGGATTCTCCGACTTCTTTCTTCCTGTAATGAATATTCTAGAACATTATATAAATCAAAAACGTTAAAGTTATTTTTATTTCTAGATTTTTGCAAAACATTGTTTCAACTGTGAGACAAAATTTTTTTACATATAGAAACAACAATTTAATGCCATCATTACCATCTGATTCTATGATATAAAAGATAAGATCAAATGGCAATATAGAATCGGTAAAAGCTATTGTATGTTCTATCAAAGATGAGAAGCATGATGCCCAAGAACAAGTATTAAAAACATAAAAATTGATCAGTTTAAAAGAATTAGACGCAAATATTAGTAAGAGCAGAGAATAACAATCTTTTTCACTGTAGTTTTTCTTTATTTAAATTGGAATAAATAAAAATAATTACTTTGAACGTATAAAAATTGCTCATGTGAACCATAAAATTTCTTGCACTGAATGTTCTGATATATGTCTCTCACTATTAAATACAGATTAAGCAACAGAATTTTAACTGAAGATTTAGAAAGCCCCGATTATTAGTATGACAGATGTAAGTGGTTGAGGTAAAGATAAATAAAAGAGATCATGAAAGACCAGATATCAAACTAAAGATATTAAATACGTGCACCCAAGATGTTTTTTACAAGATTTTCGACTAGGGTAATCATACAGTGTGCCCTAAAAGTTCCTCCCTAAAAGTTTTTTCCTTCCATTTCACTATTGACCGGACTTCGTTGACTAATTTTTTTTTGGATAATAGATAAACGCACAGAGTTTTTATTTCTAAAGATCAATTTCAAAAGCATTATTGAAAGTAAACACATTTAGCCGAAATACAAAATTTAGCGTGTTTCCTCTCTTCGGAAATACTCATGGATGATATATGTTCTAATGGCTTGAGTTTTGATTTAGTACTACTTATTTTGTATTTGTAAAGACATACCGAAAAAGAATTCTGTAAAAAGACTGTTCCAGTCTTGGACAGTTTAAAGATTC